TAATTCGTACTAAAATAGTATCGTAATATAGTAATACAGTACTATATTTCTATAGTAACAGCAGTAGGCACAGCTAACAGACTTCGGAGGGGCCAGCCTCGCCCGCTCGAGGCACTCCGGTGCTCAATGTCCGAACGCTTCAGCGAGGCGTTCTCGCAGCGGAGCCTGACAACGTGAGTGACTTGGGAATTGGGATTTAGGGTTCTAGGGTTTATGTAGGGATAATGGAAAAGAAAATGGAAACTACTATAGTTCTAGGGTTTATATAGGGATAATGGAAATGAAAATGGAACCTACTGTTTGGATTTGCGGTTTGGGGTTTAGGGTTTTAGGGTTTAGGGATTGGTTTGGGGTTAAGCGTTTGGGGATTTGGGAACATTGACGGGATGTGAAGATTCAAGGGTCCAGGCTTTAGGATTTATGATTTAGTGTGGGTTCTCAAAGTGAGGGGCACCTAGGAGTAGAGGGAGGCAAAGAGGAACATAAATTGGGGGTTTGGGCTAAGTGCTCCTCAATGAGGCGGGCCAGAAACACGCAAGATGAGCCTAGGGGACTGGCTTGCTCATCATGGTGCTAGCTTTCCTTTTATCCATCTTGAGCAGCTCTCAAACGGCGGGAGACCACAGACTGGAGCTTTTTCGGTGAGGTTCAGAAACAACGGCATATGATGGGCACAAGAGGATTGTGACATGATCATAGCACTGCTGCTCCAGCCGACAGTCTACCACGAAGCACCCTCTTCAGCAATGAGGAAATCATGAATGCCAACCTCGAAGCTCCAGTCCCAACAATAGTGAGTTTCAACCTCGGAGTTCTAAATCGTGAAGCGCTGGAAGGAGCTATCCCCTTGATCCCAGAAGCTCAAATCCTGAACCAAGAAAATTGGGGCCAACTGCCTCCAATCACCAACCAAGCTACACCCTTGCCCAAAATCTGGCCTATTTAGAGACTTCAAGAGCGAAGACACCTGAGATCGCAGCTAGGCATGTTCCAATGATTTGGATAGGTCCAAATCTTGCTGATCTTACGGCAAGGAAGGAGACAAGATGCATTGAAGGGTTTATGTCCAGTCAGAATGAATTATCGATAGTGTTGCAAGTTCTCAAGTCAAGTGGGAATGATGTGGAACCTCAGCCTCCTAATTGATCAGCACAACAGATTTTGCGGGGCTCCAAAGGAACATTGAGAACGATCTTCCAGACAGATGTCATGTATGAATCCTTTCCCTGCTGTGCATCGTCAATGGCATTGCGAGCGTTAGTCCCTGTGATAGCACAATGAGGTAGTGCATGTCAGCCGCATTCTTTCTCTGGACTTCTTGGTCCCTCGAACTCAAGAAAGCCAGCAAGTGAATTCCGGAATCTGCAGGCGCCAGAAAATTCACTTCAATAACTGAATGATGTTCAACCCAAGCAGTTACTCCGCTGCGCTGAAATGCCCTCGCGACCGTACGCCGCATAATGACCACCATGCCTATGGCCTATGCCTGCTTTCTAAGCATCTCGACCTCCATTTAAAGCCTGTCTGAAGTGATATTGTGAAACTGACAATACCTATCAATATCAACCACACGCCTAAACGAGCCAACCAGGGTCTAATGGCCCTTCCAACAGCAACACCCTGTACTGGACCGTTGGCTCATGTAGCACGTAAACCTAGTTTCGCGGGAAGACCATGTGCACCCCGGGCTTGTGCCCCATTTTGAAAAAAGCCTCCAAAAACATGCGCTCTAAGAAGGTCCCCAGAAAAAAATCACAGCGCAGGCCTTCTGCTCATTGACCCTTGTGGCAGCGCTCAGAGCCCTGTCCAGGTCACGCAAGGCCTCGGCTCCAGGAGTGTTGAGCTTCGGATACGTGGTATTTTCCATTAATACGGGGACCGCAAAAGACCCCAAAATATGGTGATCCTTTTTGTTGGGACTCCCAAAATGGTACCCCTGATTTTAGGCAACCTCACTTGAAATCCAAATTCCTGTAGGTATACACTAGCCCAATGGGCCAATGGGCCCCATGCCCTCCCTCCGAGCTGCGTCCAACTTTCGATGACACCTGGTGTTCAGAGGCTTGGGGCCGAGGGCAGCCCTATATCACATCCATGTGCTCACACATGATTTCTATCACTGTGATTCCTATCATTCCTGTCTGGACTAGGTGGAGGCCGGTTCAATAATTTCGCTTGCTTTTGTAGAGTCTTGGCCAAGGTGGGGTTCATATAAAATCCAGCACGCCTTTTGGAGGTGGTCTCTAGCTGCACACTTCCAGCTGTGGTGAAGCTTTTCAGTCTGCGCAGGGAGGGGGAGCAGCACACTTCAGGCCGTAATCGTTCATTTTGCAGCATAATAGCTTTGCGATAAGTTTTGGCAGCGGCCTTTTGAGCGAGGATGCAGGCAGAACAGAAACAACATGTATGGAAAAAACCGTATGACAATTCCTGCTTCCGTGCTCGCTGGGATCCGAACTGTCGGGTTTGCCATTGGTGGTAGACCAGTAGACTTGCTTCATCCAAGCACCGCAGGGCTGTGCTGCTCGCAACGCTTCAAATGATTTGTACAGTTTGTCAAAGTCGTCACCTTACCTATCCATAGCATGATCCTGTTTGTGCACGATTTCACTGACACCGTGTTTCTGCAAAGCTTCATGGCCAAAGTAAAAATGAACAGGCCCATCGCAGACTCGAGCACTCAAAGCGGCTGCAAAGTTTGAAGTCTGGGGCCTTCGGCCTAGAATAGAGCAACACCCTCGTGCCTTTGAACCCTTAGTCTACATAAACACATCAATGCTAAAGCGAGGCTCCCTATGCATCGGTCATCACATGAGGGAAGCAGCTAAAATCAGCAAAACAAGACCAGTAAACAACACAAAGGGACAATGGCTCAAGAGAGGTGGTCACAAGGAACCCTGTGGGCTGCTTCTTTTTTGCACCTCTGCTAGGCCTCCTGATGCACACCTGCCAGGTTCAGCAGCATGCCTGGCTTCCACCATTCGTTTTGAGGGCTTGAGGGTTGAGTGCAGGATTTGTGAAGCTTTGGGTCAAGAGGTTGGCAAGCTAGAGATTTTGGCTACCGCGTGTAGTTTAAAACAGGCCGCACCCCACAGCAAACATGACCAGCAATAATAACGTAGGAAGCAGAAACCAGGAAGTTTGTTTTGAGATTCTGGTCCTGAGTGGGAGTGCGCGTCATGGGCTTCAAACGTTACTCTGTATCACTTGAGCCAACGGAATCCTCAGATTTGCGAGCTGGCAGCTTCAGCAACACGGCCCGAGCGACACACAACGCGGCTAAACGGAACTCATTTGCATGCTTTGAGACCTTTCTCCTTGAGTGTACACTGTGAACCGGATCCTGGCGGCGTACTTCTAGCTGCGTGCCACATTCGGGGAAAGAAGCCAATCTTCATGCAGATGGCTGAAAAAAGTATAGGATTGCTGAGCTTTCCATACCAGCACAAAGCACAGCACTTGCCAAAGGCTAGGGGATTCTCGGGTTGTGTCCGCGGCGATGTGCTCTGCTCTTGATAACAATCCATTCGCCCGTCTACGCAAATGAGGTTGAATTTGGCAATCATCCTGGTTCTGGGCCATGCTGATCTAATAGACAGGGGCTGAGTCTGCCAGTTGCTTCGAGATGCCGTCCTTAAGCATATCTTGATGATGTGGCTTGAACAACGGATCAGGGGTTCAAGCAGAAAGCTCACGCGCGAAAAGAATTCTACTAGGCTTGCATAGGCGTTGCTGTTGCTCTTGGCTTCAAAGCATCTGAGCTGCACTGCCGTCACTATGACCATCGCCGCATCTTGTAAGTGAAGTTTCCAGATGTTTGCTCGTTTTTTTTTTTTTTTTTT